CCAGATTGTTCTGCTAACTCCAGAGCTGCCCTCCACAGCCCGAACAGCCTCCTTTCCTCTGCTGCTCCTCAAATCCCCCCCTTCCCCTGATTTTCTGGCGATTTCTCGTTTTCATTGCAGCTGGCGTGAGCGCGGGCAGCAGGAGGAGGAGTGAACAGAGAAAGCCACTCTCACCGGGTCATTGCAAGATATTTAAGTGAGCACATCAGCTCTGAGGGTATAAACTGGCTGGAGGAATCAGTCTGCGTAAGTCCCCGAAGGAAATATAACGTATCCTATATAAGCTGTCAGAACCTGACATGAAATTTCACCTCTGAGGCAGTTTTTCTCTCTCTGCAGTAGACAGACTCCTAAATTCAGCAATGAACACAGTCTCCGTGCTTTATTGCAGATGAAATATGGGTGGAAAAGATAAAATATGGATGAAAAAAATAAAATAGGGATGCAAAGCAACCCGTGAGTACAGCTGGCAGTGCACAGGGTGGGATTCAGACACATGTATCTAGATCGCAGATAGATCTCACCTCCACTTAGGTGGTCAAAATGAATCCCAGCCTGTAAAGATGTTGTAAATCACGGCGGTGCTCCTCCTGCCGAAGTCAGCGAGTTCTGCGTGAAGAGAGCTGGCAGGGACCCATCGCTCCTGACCGCAAGGTAACAAGAGCTAGGGATAAAAATAGCCGTCCGTGGTTACTCATGACAGCGCCCTATAGCAACTGCTGCCCTGCGGTGGCTCTTGCCTGAATAATTAATTGGAGCGGGTCAGGCCAGGGAGGACAAAGGGATGGAGATGGAGAATGTGCGCTGGCAGCCCAGAAAGCCAAGCGTCTCCTGGCTGCATCCCCCGCAGCGTGGCCAGCGGGGTGAGGGAGGGGATTCTGCCCCTCTGCTCCGCTCTGGGGAGACCCCCCTGGAGCCCTGCCTCCAGCTCGGGGGTCCTCAGCACGGGAAAGACATGGAGCTGTTGGAGCGGGGCCAGAGGAGGCTACAAAGATGATCAGAGGGATGGAGCACCTCTCCTATGAGGACAGGCTGAGAGAGTTGGGGTTGTTCAGTCTGGAGAAGAGAAGGCCCTGCGGAGACCTTATAGCGGCCTTCCAGTACCTGAAGGGGCCCTAAAAGAAAGCTGAAGAGGGACTTTTTACAAGGGAGCATAGTGATAGGACAAGGGGGAATGGCTTTAAACTGAAAGAGGGTGGATTTAGATTAGATAGAAGGAAGAAATTCTTCACCATGAGGGTGGTGAGGCACTGGACCAGGTTGCACGGAGAAGCTGTGGATGCCCCCTCCCTGGAAGTGTTGAAGGCCAGGTTGGACGAGGCTTTGAGCAACCTGCTCTTGTGGAAGGTGTCCCTGCCCATGGCAGGGGGGTTGGAACCAGATGGTCTTTAAGGTCCCTTCCAACCCAAACCATTCTGTGATTCTATAAGAACGCCAGGATAACAGAGGCAAGGCGGACGCCTTCCCTGCCTTTTGGGACTTCCTAGGACAATGCCAAAGATCTCCAGGGATTCACCTCCCTGCCACATCCCAGTGGTTACAGGGCAGAGTGCAGCACAGGCTCACAGAGACATTTAGCACCTCCTATCCACTGAAAAAAATAGGAATTCAGCACCTAAATACACAGAGGGATGGAGTTGCAGAGCTCGCAGAGAAATAGAAGAATGGCGGGTGGGTGCAGGAGTAATTTCCATGCACACAAGGGGTGCTGCCAGAACACCAGGGTGCGTTTTCATCTTCCTCACATCTCTGTGCATTGGCATCCACATGTGCACTTGGTTTCTGAGATCCCTTTATGGGTACCCTGTGATTCTTCCCAGACTCTGTTGTTTTGGGTTTTTTCCCATAGTTCAACTAAAAGTAAATTTTCAAGCCACAACTCAATTTTCAAGTTGCCTTCTATTAGCTTTCCTGTATGCTGAGCAACCTTGTCTCACCCATGGAGGGAAGAGGAGAGGCTTGTGGCTTATTCACAGCTCCAAAAATGGGGGGAGAGTACCCCAAATTCAATGGAGCATCACCTCATCATCAAGCAACACATTGGAGTTGAGTTTTCAAATATATTTGTAATAAAATGAAAGAGTAATAACATGGAATTAAATGTTTTGAATGAAAAAAACAATCACTTTTTATAATTGAAACAATGTGGAGAAGGGAGACCACCTATGTGATATCTTTGTCAGTGTAAATTTTAAGTTTTCCAAGGGATAAAAAGGGTTTGTCCTTGCAGGAGCTGAACCCCATCCAGGGAATTTGCTCTCGCAAGAGAAGAGTCATCCTGACTCTCACCACTTCAGGACCACATGTGGAAGACATATAATTTAATGCTGAAGGAACCCTTCTTAATCCTCTAATCTGACCTTTTCCCTAACATAGGCTGGAGAACTTCACCCGATCTCCTCTGCACCCAGCTCAGGCATTTCTGATGTCATTTTCTTGAAGTATTTGCTATTCCCACGCACTCTGGTAAATCTTTAAACTGACCTAGCTCTTTTTTTTTTTTGCTAGTCCCAGGGAAGAAAAACACAGAAAACAACTATCGGTGAATATGAATGGAATTTCTTTACTTAAATGCACGGGGAGCTGCCGGTATTTCACCAGGAGAGCACAGTAAAGTGGGTAAGAAGTTAAGACTCTGACCTTCAGCACGCTGGGATGGATCGTAGCCACCTTCTTGTTTCCCAGAGCAGGAGCCTGGCATGCACAGAGCTACTTTCCCTCCTAGATGCAGCTAGCACGGCGATGGGAACATAAAATCTTGTTGCGATCCTGCTTCTGATGCACAGCTACCCCAGGTCCCGCGGGTGAATCATTCTCTTCTCCTACTGTGCAGAAGAAAAATACAGCAATTAATAAAAAAACAAAACAAAGCCACACAGGCCATGCCTCCAGGCACAATAAAAAATTAATTCCCCCGGCAAACGAAACCAGAGGAGTGGCTGAATCAACAAAGCTCCCAAGAGCGCAGCCGGGAGCGTGTCTGCGTAATGTGGCAACCCGACCACATTTCCAGGGAAGTCCGAAGGGCCCAGATATAGATGACCTGAGGTTTGGTGTTGCTATTTCGGTCTGCTCATCTGCTCTCATGAGTTCTGGCCGTTACTAAAGACAGTGACAGCTGGTTCCTTTTTTTCCCCCCCCTTCATTTTCTCCACCCCCAAGCCTGGAAATCACCCATCTGTATGCAAAGCATCATTGTCTCTTCATCGGGATCTCCAGGATCCGCTTTCAGCCACGCGGCAGGATCCACTGGTCACTTCAGCAAGTGATGTCCAGCTTTGGAAGGTGGGAAGCTGCAGCGATTTCTGTAAGCCACGTTAGCAATCATCATCTGACTGTCACAACGGGCTCTCTGCTCTGTGCAAACCACGAAGAGGCAGGGAAGTCCTGACCCCAAATTGCCACATTGCCTTGTGCAACATGGGGGGAGCAGCTGAGGGTGACAAAATTAAGAGTATCAAGCGCTTCTCTCTTGTTGCAGGAGCCAGACTTGGTAAGCCAGGGCTTTTAGGACTGGGTTGTGTTTTTTTTTTCTGAATTATTAAAGAAAGCATACAAGCAGGATTCAAAACAATTGGAAGGAATTCATGTAACACACCACCCTGAGACTTGCTGGTGTGTGTTA